GAAAGGTAACGGTTCAGCGGCTGACTTTAATTACTACAGACCTGGAGATGAATTTCTTCATATATGCCTGGGATATGGATTGATCCTCCGAGAACCGCTTGAGAGATACTAATCGCCACGTCGCTATGAATGTCAGCGCCCTCGCGACGGAACTTGTCACTTTTCGCAACCTACAGCAGTAACCATAAAAACATCAAACGGTGCTGTATTTCTGATCTGCAAAACAGTACTCGAAGAATGAATAAAGTACTTTACACAAAGTTAATCCAAAAACATTTAGAGTTAATTTCTAGTGAATTACGCCTTAGGGTATCTAATTTGTCTATCAGACTTGTCAAGAATTTAAAGCACTCATAGCAAGATTATTTCTCCATCAGAATGGTAGACTTTCAAACAACAAAGTACAACTTGAAGATCAATGTACGAAACCGAAATATCTGACTTCGTTTCTAATATATAAACATTTACGCGTTTGATTCAGGATCATTCTATCTGACCTGACCTCTTTATGGGTGCGCCAAGAAAAAAAGTGGACGTTCCTCCAATTTCTTCTCATCCAGTGTATTTGCCGCTTTTCAGCAAGTGGCGGTTAGGCAATCTATTCGGGATGATAAGCACTATTAAACAGTTGCTGATTTCTCTCCAACATTTATTCAACCCCATGGATTCAGAGAAATTAAACATGACATTTTCGCCATGGATAGATTTTAGTGACGAGTGGTGGACAGCGACTGTCTCAATCTACAGAAACGAGCTCTTACACCAATTTCAGGCCATCATTTCAGAAGACGTTGCTTTTTATTATTAGCAGGCTGTTGTAATAGCTACGAGTTCACTTTACATGCATCTGTCATATTCTGTCTACCAGTGAGATAGCTAAGTAATCCATGCCGTTAATAAGTATTTGCATACTATAATTTAGCAACAGGCTTAACAAGTTTCTATTTATGTCATATGCAAAAGAAGCATTAAGGTATTTTAATTTTAATTTAATCTATGCTTCTGACTATTCGTTTCGACTGTGTTGTTCAGGTAGTAATTCATGTGGTTAGAATCATACTACATCTACTTTAAGGTATGAATATAATAAATCACGAAAAATATAAAGGATGAAACAAATCTCTCAAGAGAATGTCCAAAAAGAGGTCAAATTTTAAATATTACACAGCTCCTAAATATTGGCATATAAAAAAAATTCTGAAACTCATAAAATCTTCTGATCGAGTGCTACATGGAAAAGGTATTTCCGCACCTGTTTTATTAAAAAGTTGCGGTTAAATCTTTTCTCCACACCGTGTCAGTTAGCAATTCCTCTTTGCTTCATTGTTCCATGGTTTGGAACATAGAACGATGCTAGAAGCTTAATTTGGGAAGCGTACTTTTGCGTAAGAACCCCCAATATCACCATTCCTGTACTTCAGCATAAGCCGAGGAACAAAAGTACTTTTCAACTTTAGATTAATGAGTGAATCTCATTCAGTGTCTTGAATGCCAAGGAATACTTTGCAAGATATACAGTGCAACCATAAAATTATCATATAATACTCCAAGGTAAAGCATAAGTGCATATACACAACAGTCTAATAGATCATACAATGTCTATCTTCAAGTGTCAATACTTAACGATGTCAATGGTTCTTTCGCAACGAAATTAGTTGTAAATTAAACATGTAAGAGCGTTTTGTGTCACAAACCACGCAAGAAAAAAGTTGATGGGAATATTATGGTAATGACAAACAACTGCTTTGACTAAGTAACAGCTCAACTTCGACTGCTCAAAGATTTTCTAAGCAGAAGTAGACATGCTTTCAGTACCAATGCTATCGAACACTCTGTGGAGCTACAAGGATTCGGAGGTTGCAGGTACAACAAACCACTGGTGCGCAAGGACTTCGTTATAAACATACGAGCTTGGTCAAATAACAATGGCCCTCACTACAACGTCTCAACCGACTGAGTTCTAATCCGTCTATTAATATGCTACAGCAGGAACCAGTGGGGCCACTGATGCCGCCTTTTTTCAAACAACTCCATGTTTGCTCCGATGGAGCGCTTAAACCTTTGCATCGAAACTGCCTGTTCGCCTGCATCATGAATTTCTATTTCGTTTCATATTATTTATACGTAATTGAATCTCTATTGTAGCTACACGCAATCTTCGTTACTAAGACTTTTGCTGTTTCCTCGATTTCATAATGCCGTAAGGTAAGTCTGCTCGTCAGTTCAATCTACTGCTTTCCATATTAGATCGGGAAATTAACAAATTCTGTGGGAAATTACAGTCAGAAATCTGTATATTTAAATCATCACTTACAAAAAGCTTTATACCGTAAACTTTAAATGAAAATGATTTAAAGGTAGGAAATGATTACGCCACATTGTATACCTTGAAAGTAATAAACACCTCCTTCTTGCCAACAGTCATTCGTACAGTCTGTCCATCCTCCACGCCTGAAAATTCGAAAATCATACACGGTACTAAGTTGAAAACACCAGTACCTGCAGGAACGGGAACAACTACATTACGGCGCTGAACCGTATTTCCGGTGCCTTCACATTCGAGACAAGGATTTTTGTTGTACTGACCAGTGCCACGACATCTCCGGCACGTTTGGCGCATGATGAACGGTCCTTGCGAGAACGTTTCCTACATACGGTGTCAAAATGAAAAAAAATAATAATATAAGGTCGTCTAAATAAACGAAATTTAGGCATCCATGTGCAAGAAGGCAGTGGAATAGCAGCAAAAACTGGCTGTAGATTAGGATTGAGCATATTAACGGTTTAAAAAGAAAAAAAAACATGTTCTTGGTTTTGGAAAGCAGATAATAAACGAGCTTCAAAAATATCTCTGGTAAAGAGCAAATATGATTCAAGTCAATATAATGATGTGAAAACCTTCCATCACAGCAGGTTTTCAAACATGACACAGAGTGACCTAACTAAACGTCCCCTAGGCCCCTAAGAGAAAAGAGATGGTGATTGGATACGGCTAAAAATAAATTATATGCATTGCAGGAAGCAATATTATAAAGCCATATCTTTCGTCATAATTAAACATTGAAATGTTGCCTGCAAGATGCTATAGGTTTACTAAATATTTACCATTCCCGTTCCGTCGCAGAACGGACATTTCACAGTCTTGTACCCGGGCTCCGTTTTCTTGCCATTACATCGTGGACAAATATCTACCACGTTTACGTTTATTTCCCGATCGACGCCTCTGGCTGCTTCTTGAAACGACAGGTTCATAATCACCTAAACTGTGCGCTTAACAATAAGTACCACAAGATGCATCAAAAGGCACTCTATCTCATACACTTCAAATATTCAACTCGTAGACAAAGTCATAAATATAGACCAGCGTAACTAATTGCAGTCTCGAAGCGCAGAAGAATGTTTACTTCAGCTGCTTCAGTAGCAATAAAGAACTCTAACTATTAACTATAAGTTAATCACAAGCGCAGCAAACGTAGCCGGAAATCACGCGTGTGCTTAAAAATCTCGTGATGCACCCAAGACAAAACTGGCTAAAAGAAGAATACTCTCGTTAGAGAATAAGAGGTAAGATAGGTGGCAAGGAGAGTAACCACGCTTCCTTTCAGTGAACATTGTGCACATATCTGAAAATCATTTCAAATAACGTGCTCGCGATAAGTTCATACCCCAGATCCACAGCATCGAAGACCAACAAAGGTCAAAGCAGGGAATCACACATGGTCTAAATTTTTACTGCCACCAGAAAGAATGACAATGAACGCTATAATAATCAACTCATGAGCCAATTATAACTGGAAAGCAGATCAGAAGGTAACGAGTCTTTATTCATGTTGCCTCATGCAATAAATCTATCCAAAAGCAGAATATTTTGAGTACGACCGGAAAAGAACGGGTGACACTATTAACAGCTACTGTAAAAGATGGTACGACAATGCAACATATCCTCTACTTTTCGCAAACAACAAGCTAAGCTGTTCAGCTCAATTTAAGGCCTAAATTTGCTTCTGAGCACTTACCTCTTGAGAACTGCCGAAACCGGCATTGGTTTCGGCGAAGTCGTCAAAAGTCCAGCCGGAAAAACCGCCCCGGCCTTTCCCAAGATTTATGTCTCCAAAAATTCGCCGGAAAAGTTCCTCTGGGTCGATGGTCGACTGGAAGCCTTGCCAAGTTTGTCCGGTACCAGCATCGCCTCCACCCGGTGCACTGGCCTCCGCAAAACCACCGGCTGAACCCAGCTGATCATACTGCTGTCGTTTCGATTCGTCGCTAAGCACCTGATTGATAAAAAATCGTTTACTTTTAATATTAAATTCTGGTCGCTGACTCGTGAATCGCTATAAATAAAATCACATGATTTACTTCATACGCTGCCGAAACTTCTTGAAACTTCCTCGCCGCCTGAGGATCGTCCTTATTTATGTCGGGATGATACTTCTTGGCTAACTAAAACAATTACCGTGTAATATCTAATATTCAGAGTCAAATACAAGTATATACATATACACCAATAATAACCACCAGACAATCTTTATAAGGTATCAGTCCTACAAGAAAAAGTGCAGTACATATTTTTCCGTAAAAAGCTAAAAATTTTGGGTTTGGGAGTAACCTTGAAAATATGCTGGCAACGAATGATGTTCAAGTTCGTTAACCTAAGCGTTCTGAGGGAAAATAAATAAGTCCTATCAACCTGATCACAAATACACGTAATCAGACCGTGGTTGCTTAGATGGTAGAGCGTCGTACACAGAACAGAAAGGTTCCGAGTTTGAGCACGGGTTTCGTGCTAGCCCAAAAGTTAAAAAAATTTCTTTTATTAGTTTTGATCAAAAATAAGATAACATATTTAATCTTTGATTCGATCTTAGAAAAAACGGATGCAGCTATCAAGAGTAGAAAAACAAATCTTCAGGATTTTGCAAGAAGAACGTTTCCACTGCCATTTTAAAGTGGAACTTTACCATCGGTAAAAATAAAAAATACTAAGGCCATCATTTAAACTACCAGAATAATAAAAGTAGTTTTGATATATGATGAGATTTCCCTATCAGGCAATGAATACGGACGTCATAAGGTCGGTGATTCTATGCAGGTATCAAATACTGCATAGAGAACAAGATATTGCTATTAATTTTTTAATGTGTTCACTTCTCACTGTCAGGCAGATTAAAGAGTTCAACAATAAGAAATACTAGACAATGACCAGCTGTGATTCGAAAAAGTTAATCGTGAGAGCTGGTGAAAGAAAGAATGAAAAATGACCTCCTCTTATTCTGTTTTTATTAAAGAACGAAGCAGGTAATTTACAACGTAGTCTCTGTTTTCCGTCCTCGGGTAAGGAAAGAAGAAACTGTTTCCGGTCAAATACGTATATGCTGGAATGACGTTCTGCATTACAGTGGATATAACAATATAGGGAAAAATCATTTCTAAAAAAAATCCTGCCATATTTACTTCTGTTAATTTACAACATACTTTAATGTGAAATATGCAAGCTACCACATATTTAACACTTAGTTTAAGACGTATCGGATGACAGAAACGCTTTAGTACGACTAATAGTGCATAGCAGAATATGTTCTCCATCAAAGCTTATCTACTTAACACAATTCCGCTGTATGGGTCAGTTTTCCCCAAATTTTTTGACCAATGGCCAAATCTTTTGTCACTCTACGAATTTTCATATCGCCATTTTACATCAAATACATTTTTTTCTTTGACCTTCCCCCTCTTTACTTCACTTGAACCAAAATCGTTTAGATAGCGCGCTCAGTTTTCCTTCTCATTATGCTGAGCATACGGAACCTATTCTGTTTTAGAAAAGCTATTATGATGTTTGATCTTATTCTTATTGCGTTCTACATGAAGGCATTCTGGATGTGTCCCTTCTACATGATACTACACTATCATCCATGCAATCAATTTTTATGGAATTCAGTCGGTGCGTCTCTTCAAAGTGGCCTATATACTAATAGCTAATAGCTTCTCTTTCATATGATCGACCGCTTATAGGCGTGCACGCTGATCACATCCCCCACCCCATTTCAGCCTTGCCTTTCGGATCAAATTTTTAAATTGCTACCGACATTCTAAATGCCAGGTAGAAAGTGACTCGTTCGTGCTGCTTCCGGTGGGAACAGCATGCCATATATTCTATCTATTTCTGATACGAAGCTCATTTTTCCAAAACCTCATGTTTCTTCCGTCTTCGCTAAGCAACACTACGAAGTCTGCATGCAACAGAAGAACATGCAGTAGAGGACAGTATTCTGCAGGCCTTTCAGTTAGTGCACCTGTCATCAAAGAGCAAAACTAAGCTTAATTCCGCCCTTCACTGATATCATATTCTACAATAACAAATATATGTACCTGATAATATGCCTTCTTTATCTCTTTCGAAGAAGCGTTTCGTGGAACACCCAGTACTTCATAATAATCCTTGCTGCGTAACAGACGTGATGAACTATAGATCGACCTCGTGAGGTATGGAGTGTTATTTACTAAAAGATAAATTTGTATAAGCAAGATATAAGGGAAACAATTTTCTTCTGAAAACGTACGTTTTAAATGTATGACGTGCTGCAAAGCACTGCAAACCAGCGGCGCCATCGACCGACCAAAGCTGGGAACGTTGCTACTTAAAAGACGGACAACACATTTTCCACACAATGCCATTATCGACGCAACGGCAGCTGAAAATGAAACAACATTAACAAATCTTATAAATCATCCATCTAATGGGAGCTAATTATATTTTTCAATGAATACAACTTCAAGTTTACTTGCAACCGAGTAGAGGCGAAAAGTGTCCAGCTTATTCCGTCATAAGAAAGCAAAAAAAATAAACAATCGACATCAATAAGAATTTATATGAAGATATCAAAAACGCCGTTTGGAAAAATATGAGGCACAACCCACGTTCCTCATTCATGAGCTTTAAAACAACAGCGGAATACTTTTTACTGCACTTTTGCTATACACTTTTATGAATTCAAAATAATGTTAGGTACTTCCTTTAAGTGCAAATGGCTGTTTTACAAGAAAGAATGAGCGACCCAAAAAAAATTTTGCTCGTGCATCGCTTCCGGTATTTCCAGGAAGTAAGATGACTCATACAGCACACTACGAAGGCCATAGATCATAAAAGTGCAAAGAAAGCTAATCCTCTATTTCTTAAAAAATATATACAGAATTCCTGTTGAATTTTTTCCCGTCAATTCACGATTTGGGCTTACTGAGGTTTACAGACAGAGGAAAGATAATTATTATTTGATAGTGTTAATTCACACTAGTGAACACCTCTATTCAAAGGATATCCTTTATTGAGATCTCTGAACGTTTAGCGCATGCATCTGTTCATGACAATCTCATCATTATGCGAAAACAAAATCAGTCCAAGGTCGCAGCAATCTCTACGCCTTTGCCATAATGAACTACGATTAAAAGTGTCCTAACGAGAAACCAAATTGCTGGCATTTCTTTAATTTCAACATGTTCTGTGGATTTGTGAATATCATATGCTAATCTTGGCTAAAGCATATGTTGTTGTGAACAGAAATATCGCATCTAAACTTCCGAAGAAGCAACAGCTATAATGATCAAATCACCTGAATAACAAGAGAGTTCAGATCGATACAAAGTTGCATTTAAGTTCCCTTTGAATATTTGATACCTGTGAAATCACATTTCCAAAACTGTTTGTGAAAGATAGAGAAAATTAAACATTAATAACAGTATCCTCAGCTACAAAGGATGGGCTTCTTTACTTGTAGCTTAGGTCGGGGTGGTTTCTTAGTGAACGGCAACGAATTATTTGCTCTCGCGGAAATGAGCTGCGTAGCGAGTGGTTCCTGTTTACAACTTACTAGTCAACTAAGAACCAAAAACTCCGTAATTTAAGGAGACAACACTACAAGTGAGAAGTTCCGTGTTGCATGTTGGAACATTCATTCCTTGTCTGGAGAGGATAAGTTGCATAATGTCTGCTACATGGGTCGTCGTCTCTACAAACTCTATTTAATGGTGGTAAAGTAAACTTTCCTCCTGGGGAAGAAGACGCTTGATCATCAGGATGAGTGGCCGTTTTGGTAATCATGTTGTGCTAGTGTGGGTATCCTTCTGTCCTCTCAGTAAGCCGGACGGTCATTTCGGTGGGGCAGCAAATAAAGAGAATACCGGTCTATCACATTAATGTCATACAGGCGAAGCTGAATGTCACTGTCACATATGCCACAACAAATATGCTGCGAATCAACGATTCTGACACTTTCTATGACTGCTTGAAATTGGCTGTTAAAGCTTTGCTGCTTACGACGTCGCAGTTGTCACCGGCGACCTCAACAAAGAGGTAGATCACGAGCACTGCACATGAACAAAGTACTCGGCCGCAATGATATTAACAGCATGAATAACAACAGTAGGCATCTGTTAAACTTGTGCTCGACAAACAGCTTACTGTCGACAGCACCCTTTTACCCCATCAAACTGCCTGAACATCCAATGGCAGAAGCCTAAATACGAAGCTAGACCACAGCCCTGTTCTCATCAACTGCAAATGACCCAGCTCGCAGCTCCAAACTCGTGTCAGGCATGGCGCTTAAATCGACTCTGATGGCGATTGGCTTAAGTAAAGGAGGTTTAAGTTAATTTTTAATGCCACCATCCGTACTCAGTCGGGAAGTGGAAACAATAAAGCTTACAAAAACTTCAAAGAAACCGTCATTTCCTCGACGTAAAACATTGTTGGGGTCAAGAAGAAAATAGCAAAACTACCCTGGGTCATGGAAAAGACACTAGCCCAGAGGGAGCAAAGGAATGTTTGCTGTCAAAGTTGAAGGAGCAATATTTGAATTGATCCTTATTAACTGTCAGTTGATCTGAAAAACGTGCTTTCCCCTTTGTTATTCGACGTTGTTCTCCACTTTCTTGCCCGAAACAGTGTTAACTCTGGCAAAGACGAAGGTCCCATTCTAGAAGGAAGCTGTGGTTCAAGATATCCGGCTAAATATCTTGCTGACCTAGATATATCCTGGAGTATGCAGATGATATTCTGGTGGTAAGCAGTAAGGGAAGCAGAATCTGTCACCTGACGACTTCTGTATGCTACGAGAGTGCGAAAACCGACCTCCCCTTTAAGCCCCGGAAATCAAAACTGAAATGAACAACCCATACGGCTCAACTGATCCACTAGTGGAACAAATGGTGGCGACCATCAGGAGGCTTTCCCCCGTTGAAATATTTCGGCTCCATCATCTCCAGCAATAGCATTACCCAGTAAGAGTCAATTACGATAATAGCTCTAGCGTCAATTACTTTTGGAAACCTGTCCAATATTTTGCTTGAGTAAGAAGTAGAAGTTATATTTCCAACGAAAATTCGCCTGTATATTATTCCTGTCAGGTCAGTCATGTTGCACGGTATGAAGGCAGTTTCTCTAAGGAATGGATAAAGACCAATGTTGAACTGCGTACGACAGCGTTGGCTATGTCGCAAAATGATGATTAAATGGTAGGACGAAGCAAGGAACGACTCTATTCTCTTCCTTTCCTAAGACACAGATGACCTAGTTATATGTGGAAACTAAGAAAAGGAGGTCAGTCTTGTTTTACAGATTGGTTGAGAGTCAACCGTTTATTCCAGCCAGAAAGCTTCGCTGGTGGGATCCGAAACATGGCAGACGTTGATCAAGAGGCCAGTATACAATATTGAGGAACAAGGTAGAAACAGATCTGCTTTCGGGAATGAATATTTTCTTATGCGATTTAATAATCAGTACCTTATAGCAAAACTGATGAAAAGCTGGAGATACAATGGGCATCACAAAACACAGAAGTTCTGCTTATGCAAACGACTCGACACGATGGTCTAAACAAATAAATAACAACGTCAAAAACGATTTTTGACCCTGTTTTAACAATATTTTGTTTTGATGAAAGTATCATGCTAAAGAGTGCAAGGTGTCGCT